GGTGGGGGGGGGGGGGGATACAGCTTTTAAATTGGGGTCAGACATCTCCCTTACCTTCTGTCCCAGCCCCAGCACCACGAGCCTTCCTGGCTCCTCCATCCCCTCCCCAGGGGAAGGGGCAGGCAGAGAGGGGTGCCCAGGGAGGGGACACAGCGGGGCTTCCTCCGGAGCATCACAGCCTGGGGAAACCCCTTATCCCACCTCCCCCCCCGGCCCCAAAACCCTCAGGGACGCCCCTTCCCCTCTCACAGCTCCTGGAGCGTTTCCCAGGGCTGCCCACATCTCGCCAACGGGTTTTTTTCTCCAAGGGTTTCATTAAATCCCACCTGCTGTCGTACACCCGCATCCCTCCCGTGGGGTGACAACGAGCCCCCCCGAGGGGCCGGGCCAAGAGAGCAATTTGGGACTGCTCCTTTCCAGCCTCTTAATTAAACCCCCGAGTGCCAGCAGCGGGGAATGCCGCCGGGAATGATGGTTGGCTCATGGCTCTGCACGCGGGGGCTCTAACGCCTTGGGGAACGGGCTGAGGGGAAGCAAGGGCTGGGGTTTTTTTTGGTGTGTTTTAATTTTAGGTTTTGTTGGGTTTTTTTTATGGCATCCCCAGGAGAGCTGAACGCTGTGAGCTGGGCTTGGGGTTTTGTGGTCTGGCAGCCGGAGTTTGCTGCTCAGGGCTGGTCGGGAAGGAGCCACTTTGGGAGGTGCTGAGCTGGAGACCCCGGCCAGGGAGAGCCAGCCTGGCCACGGGGCCACCGGGACAGGGAGAGACGAGCCCGGTGGCTACTCAGACCCAGCCTTCAGCCTCACTCGCCCACCCTGGGGCTGCTGTAACCGCTCCAGAGGGACTGAAATCCCATTGGGATGCTGGATGTCTGCTCCAGCCTTTCACCATCCCTCCCACTGAGAGTTTGGGTGTCCTCAAGCGTGTCACTGAGGTCCCTGATGCCCCCAAGGGACTGTATTTCCTTGAGGCTCGAGCTCTGGGTCGGTGCGATGCCGGGCATGGCAGAAACCCACGTTTTTTGGCATGAATTATTTAAAATAATGAATGAGAGAGGACCAGGCTGTGGGCAGAAAGCACGGCCGGGCGCCGGGAGCAGCATCCGTCAGCGCTCCCGGGAGCGGAGGAGCGCTGGGCGCAGCGGGGGGACACGTCCTCAATTAACCCCGAGCTTTTTTTACAGCACCAGGAATTCGGGGAGGTTTTCAGCCAAAAGCTCAGTGTGGTCCCAGCCCACAGCCCCCTCCCCGGGGCCAGGAGGCAGCTTGGCCCTGCTCACCTGCTATAATTAGCAAGAAGCCTCATTAGCATCAGGCTCAGCTGCTTCCCAGGAGGCCAGGAGGAGCTTGTCAGGGCAGTTAATTGCTAATTACTGAAAGCCTTTAGTAGCTCTCCTGAGGGTTTCCCCTCTCAGGTACAAGGTTTTGAGGGTGCTCCATCCGCCACGGGTGGGAAAAGGCTTGTGGGGGTGTCACCCTTGGGGTGGTCCCTCTGTGGGGACCCGTGGATTACAGGTGCCCTTGGGGGTGATGCACTGGGGATGCCCCACAAACCCTAAATCCCTGTGGTGGGGGCTCTGCAGGGCTTGGCAGGAGAGGAGAGGGAAGAGGAGGAAGAAGGTGGTAATGATGACGAAGAGGAGGAAGAAGAAAGTCTCTGCCTTCCTCAGAGCAGTCTGCAGCTTTAGAGGCTCAGGAAGGTGGGTTAAAGCCAGGTCCCTGGAGAGGAGGTGCCCAGGCTGTTGTTTTGCAGCCCCTTGGAGGTGCCTGGTTCTGTGGGGACACGTGAGCTGCAGCCTCCTCCTTGCTGAGATGGGCGATGCCACTAAAATAATGTTTAACAGGATTTTGAGGTTGAAAAATCAGGAAAAATCACAGGAGTGTGTGGTGTGAGGGCTTGGAGACCTCCAAAAAACCCCAACCCCACTTGTGGAGGACCAGGCTTTGAGGGCACTCAATAACCCACCAAGGAAAGAGGGATTGATGGAGCTGGAGTACCCTGTAGTGATAGTGACCTTCTGGGCAAAGGTTCCTGTGTGTTGTTGGAAAATGCCACCCCTCTGGGGGCATGTGGGGATCAGAGGGTTGTCCCACACCTGGGGACTGTTGTTCCCTCGAGCCCAATGTCTGGGCTGTGGTGCCTCTGCTCCACGTGGAGAAGCTGAAGAGTTTTGGCCTCGTCATCCACAAGGCATCTCCGGGGCAGTGATTTAATTTGGGGAGTGTGTTGGCTGTGAGTCTGCTCTGTGGGCTCCTGGGAGGCTTGGGGGAGGCAAATGGAACAGAAACCTGGAGCATCTCCCTTATGAGGAAAGACTGAGGGAGTTGGTTCTGGAGAAGAGAAGACTGAGGGGGGATCTGATCAACACCTATAAATACTGAAAGGGTGGGTGTCAGGAGGATGGGGCCAGGCTTTTTCCAGTGGTGCCCAGGGACAGGACAAGAGGGAATGGGCACAAACTTGAATATAAGAAGCTCCACCTAAACATGAGAAGGAACTTCTTCACTTTGAGGGTGGCAGAGCCCTGGAAGAGGCTGCCCAGAGAGGTGGTGGGGTCTCCTTCTCTGGAGACATTCAAACCCTCCCTGGATGGGACCCTGTGGGACCTGCTCTGGGTGGACCTGCTCTGGCAGGGGGTTGGAGGAGATGATCTCCAGAGGTCCCTTCCAACCCTATATCTTTCTGTGATTCTGTGAGCTCCCTCCAAAACAAAGCTGTTTATAGGGGCTGGGACTCAGGTCCAGCAGCCAAAGTTTTTTTTCAGGAAGATAACCCCCCCGTGGGTGGGATGGGATGGGAAGGCTGATTTTGGTGGGAGCTGTGATGGACTCAGCAAGGGGCATAGAATAAACCCACGGGGTGGAGGGGAGCTGCTCTCTCTCTGCAGCTTCAGCCTTTATCATTGATCTGCTTGCTTTCTTTTTTAATAGAAAATAGAGTTTGGGCTCTTTGAAGGCTTTACCTGGAGGAGCAGTGTGTGGATCTGGCCTTGCTGCAGCCCCAGCCCAG